TTTAAATGCATTAACTATCGAAAATACATGATGTATGACATATCTATTATATATATACATACATATACATATATATATACATACACATACATATACATATATATATATATATATATCCCATGAACATCGCTAAATCAATGCCACCTTTTTGTCGGGTCGGAGCCGAGGAGCTCCCGGATCTCCTCTTTGAGGTTCACCTCCTGCGCCAGGTTCAGCACGTGCGAAATCTGCGTCCGAACCGTGAGCTCCTGGGCCGGCTGGGCCGATGGGTTGGGAATGCGAAACGTAAAGTTCGAGTGAACCTATGCAGTTATGAATGTTATGTATGTTATGTATGCTATATATATATATATATTATGTATCTATCAATCTATCTATCTATCAAGCAATCAATAGATACATAGTGCAATTTACAAGGTATTACACGATGTCTATGTATCTATCTGGTGTAATCTAACCGAAGCTAACCCAATCGAAGCGAACCAAATCTGCTGACTCAGATGAGAGTCCAACCCGTGAAAGTTCCATTGGTCCTATGTGAATTCAGGGAACCATTAAAAAGGATGATATATGTGGTTAATATATGGTTAATATATGGTTATGGAGATATATCTATAGCTGAACTTCCAGTGGATGAGTACCCTCTGGTAATTTTTGACACGAACTGGAAAATGGCCCAGTCGAAATAGTGGATTTTCCCATTAATAGCATGGTGGATCTTTCCATGGTTTTTTGTTAACGTTTACCAGGCCGGGTAGATGTGGATCTTTTCATCCCACCAAGAACCATAAGACTCGCTTCTGGAACTTGTACCCTCCAGACATCCAACATGGAAAGGGAAATCCACAAATGGAGGCGGGGATCATCATCAAATCAGGGACGTTCGCCATCGCCATGATTACCCTCTGGTAAACATACAAAAAGCTATTGAAAATGGCTTAGTCGAAATAGTGGATTTGCCCATTAAAAATGGTGATGTTCCATAGTTATGCTGGTTTAGCAGAGGGTACCCCAGAGTAGAGCTATAGCATTAGGACCCAGTCCTTGTCATTCTCCAAGTTCCGTTTGCCTTGGGAAACAGGGAATTTCCGGAGAAACAGGTCAAATGGCGCCAAGCAATATCTGCTCGCATTCTCAAAGTCCAGTTGAGAGTTTGTTTCAAAGACTGGGCTTTCTGAGAATAGGCTATATACTTCAAACTCCCGTTTTTTGAAAGAAACAGCTTTTGTCATGGTTCCAACAGTAGGCTATGACATCAAATTTTGCTTCAAACTCCCGTTTTTGTCATCATTGTTCCACCATCTAAAATTACCATTCTGGGGTGTCGAATTTTGAAGCTGTGCCCATCCAACCTGCCCCTCAGCGATCTCATCCATTCATCGCTGATCAAATTAGCCCTAGTCTCCATCCATCTCCATCAGTTTGTCTCAATTACCCTCTGGTAAACGTTAACAAAAAACCATGGAAAGATTCACCATTTTTTATGGGTAAATCCACTATTTCTATGGCCATTTTCATTAGCTATGTCAAAAATTACCAGAGGGTATCCCGTGGATTCATGGGGTAATATTGCAAATATCCCTCATGGCTTGCCATTTCTTGGCGTTTCAAATCATCCCCCTTGTTTGTTGGCGATATTCTTCATAAACCTATCCATAATCGTCTTAGAATCAAACTGTTTATCTTTCTCTTGGAACCCTAACTATTTCTGATTGCTTCAAGACTTCATCCATCTTCCCTTATATCCCATTATATACATTTCATTAGATCCCATTACACATATATATATATATATATGTATATCTATATATATTGTGTATATAAATATCCCCACAAAATGCGTTGACAAATATCTGAAGAACGTCCACCTTCCTCCCAAGTTTTCCCGGATCAAGGCCTCCCAGGTAGAGCCAGGGCAAGATCTCGCTGCTGTGCGCCGTCATGTGCGACTCGAAGTGCTCCTTGGACACCTCCTGTTCCTCAGAGGGCAAGGCAAAAAACCAATGTCGTATCCAGGGAATCGTGATGTATGTGTGTTTGCCATGAAATTGCTATACACGTACATATCTCTATATATGCACATTTGTATGCATATGTATGTATATATATATATATTATGTACATAAATCCCACATAAATCCCAGTGTATCCCCTTTATATCTCCGTGATCTTCCATGTTTTCAACCGGGTCCCAAAACTCCATTGGCGCAACCGCATTGAGTCCCAGCAACACATCGACCACACATGACTCGCTCACAAGGGACGTCTGACTGGATCCTGGGTGCCATCAAAAATATCCCAAAAAAAAGGATGATATATGTGGTTCATATATGCTTAATCTATGGTTCATATATGGTTAATATATGGTTAATTTATGGTTCATATATGGATAATCTATGGTTAATCTATGGTTCACATATGGTTAATATATGGTTATGGAGATATATCTATAGTTGAACTTCCAGTGGATGAGTACCCTCTGGTATTTTTTTTTACAAAAAGCGAACTTGAAAATGGCCCAGTCGAAATAGTGGATTTGCCCAGCTATAAAATGGTGGATCTTTCCAGTTCGCTATGTAAACGTTTACCAGGCCGGGTATCCCCCAAAAAATATGAGGATCTTACCCTCCAAACAACTGCGAGTTCACATCAACTACAAGGTGGTGCCCCAGTTCGTTAGCTAAGTTGGTTTATAAGTCCCATTTCACTATGGTTTATGGTAGATATAACTATAGTTAATGGGGTTTATAAACCAATTTATAACTGGGGGGCACCACCTTGTATGAGATGAATTGAGGGGTGAATTGAGGGAACATTTGCAGGAAACCATGGTTTTGTCCACACAAATAATGGGATGTCCTATCAACTTTCACCAGTTTCGATTCTAGGAATAAAATGGTGGTTGACCCGTCAATCTAATGAGGGCCTGGCAGGAACATGCATTGATATGTATTTACCAGCAAGGAGACAAATCAATGCTAGAAAATACCTTTGCTCAACTCCAAATTGCTATAGACTATGGGTAGTTGTATATCAAAAATCATCTCTCGTAACAACTAGTAAGTGGCCAAATATATGATTAGCGATTTTCTCAAAACAACATCCAGAACATTGCTAATCTTAGATCTCCTGTCTAAAGCAGGTTAAGACATATTCCCCGATCAAAATGGCAAAGGATTGAAATGGGTAAAAAAAACGCTCCATTAATTGATCAAACTCACAAAGGTGGCGCAGCCGTGGTGGATTTTTTCTCGCCGCTGGCGTCGCAGGCTGCCTACCTACCCGCGATAACAAACTGGCAGTTGACCAATCAGGTGTGTCTGAAAATGGGGATGTAATGGGGATATAACAAATAACTGACATAACTACCACACAACTTTAATGTGTGGATCATCATATTTTTCTTGTAAACGTTGCAATTTGTTTGGTTTTCAAATGTGCCCCATTTTGAGACACATCAAAACCTGGTCACCACTCAGAATATCCCGAATCATAGTTCTCTAACTCCTGCAGGGTTCCGTGAATTTCCTCGCAGACATATCACATGTTGCAGGATTTTTAAGTTCTTGCTTTTCACTTTTTGTTTGCTATTTTTAAGCAGATTTCCAGTCGAAGCCTGCCAGAATTGCTTAACCATGGTTCAAGAATTAGACATCAAACCAGCACGTTTGATCATGTTTCGGATATTGAACCAACATTTTTTGGCAGTCATTTTGACCTATATATATAACTATATATATATACATACATTATTTACACATGTGTGGATACATATAGGTTTTGATTATGAAATAGACAATGCTACATCGATACAATGATACACCACCTATGGCTCTTATCCATCTATCAATTCACTCCACGAAAGCCAGCCATTAACAAACTCACTTAACAAAAACTCAGAACAGCCAAACTCAGTGAACAAACAGCCACAGAACCACTCTCCTCACAACAATCACAGCCACCAGCCACAGCCAAAAACAGCACTTGGTGGTTCATCCCACGGCTCGTAAGTGAGTTATAACCCCAAATATTTCAGTGGATTAACCCGCTCCTTATCCCATGTAAATCACTGGGCTTATAACCCACGGCCACGAGCCGTGGGTAGTTCGCCAAAAACAGCAGCAAAACAGCAGCCACAGCTCCTCACAGACGGACTTCTTAGAGGCACAGCAGTGGCCCAGATAATCCACGCTGCTTTTCAGGTCGCCCATCGTTGCCTCGACGCCTTGGCAGCTGCCTGTGTCCAACGCCTCTGCAACGGCTCGGTGAATGCCTGGGTACCAGAGACCTGAGGCACCAAAAATGGACGGCGTTGATGGGAAACATGGGAAATTCATGGGAAAATATATCGGAACACATGGTTCTTATCATGAGAAAATAGAGGAAAAGACGGGAAAAACATAGGAACATGTTGAACATATATAGGAAAAGCTTGGAACATCATGAAAACATCATGGGGAATCATAAGAAACTATAGGAAAAACATGAATAAAAATCCACTGTTTTCATGGTGTTTTCACGGTATCATCGAAGCAACTGGGGAGTCTAATCCTCATTGTAGGAACAATCCACTGGTACGCTGATTGAGGATAGTACTGTGAGGGTGTATATATATATATGTATATTGTGATTTGCAAACGTATCAGCTCTTTGAGATGAACTTCACCATAAGGGTCCTTTGCATAACCGCTTCCCACTCCAGGTCCAAACAAACATTGTTGTCCAGGTGGTTCCATAGACACTTGGCTCAGGCGATCCAGCGGCAGGAGGGAAGCGGCGTGTCTTGTGCCTGCTTGGCGCCATAGCACAGGGTGCTTGGGAACGTGGACGTTCCATTGGAGCTAGCAACATAGGACGCATTGCATCCGAGACTGCTGAGAGGAAAAGTCGCTCATCGCAGGGCGCTGAGGTTGGATTCAACATAGTGGAGCTACCCCACTCATATTGGTAGCGGAGCCCCCCGCAAAGGGGGGCATCCAAGGACCTTTGGCGAGAACTCCATGCCGGAGCCAACTGGAAGTGGGTCTGAACCAGGCTCGTCGACTTCACAGGTCACGAGCCAACTGGCCTACCTGGTGCCCCAATTTGATCCTGCCAAAGATGATCTGCTGATTTACCAGCAGAAGGTGGAGTTGGTGACAGCAGCTTGGCCCAAGGACAAATACGTGGAATTGGTAACCAGGCTGATCCTCAACTGCCAGGGTTCAGCGTTTCAGAAACTGCAGTTACACCAAGCAGAGCTTTTAGCCAATGATGAGTCCCCTGTCAAGAAATTGATAGCCCTCCTAGGCGGAAGCTGGGGACGGATACCCTTGGAGAAACAGTTTGACGAAGCTGAACAAGCCCTTTACCACTGTCAACAGAAGAATGATGAGTCCAATGATTCGTACCTGGCCAGGTCAGAGATTCTTTGGAGTCGTTTGCTTGCCAGGAAAATCTCACTGGAAGAGCTTCAAGCATTCATAGTGCTTCGAGGCAGCTCACTGGCACCGGAGGACAAGAAGCGTGTGATTCTGGAGTCCGATCGAGACGGTGCTGGAAAGCTCACCAATCAGAAGGTTTCTGAGGCCATCAGAATGCTTGGGGCCACATTCTTCATGGACATGACAGGTCAGCGTAGGGGCAGAACAAAGGTTTACGACCAAACTGTTTTGACTGCTGAAGATGTAAGTGATTCTGCAGAAGGCTTGATGGCCGCCGATGACATGACAGAGGAAGATTTTGTGGACACCCTGATCACTGAAGGTGAGGACGAAGATGCCGCCATGATTGCAGACTTTGAGGCAGCAGCCTCTGATGTCATTCAGGAGGACCTGGAGATGGCACAGGCGTACACCGCCTACATGGAGGCCCGGAGAAGGTTGTCAGAAAAGTATCGCAATCGTGGGTTTTGGCCTACCAGCAAAGGGTCCACCTCTTTCACCAAGGGCAAGTTTTCAGGTGGTGGTGGCAAGTCTTTTGGAAAGGGATCCAAGTTTGGCAAGGGTCGCAAAACTTTGCAAGATCGGATTCTTCAAAGCAATTGCCGAGCGTGTGGACGCCGGGGTCACTGGAAAGCTGAATGCCCCTACAAAGGGGGAACAACATCTCAGTCTGGTATGAGTGGCAACGGTGGAAGTACAGCTCCCACAACAACACTGGTGACGGACCCTTCAAGCTTAGGTGCTGACGACGCCTTGCCTCTGGAGTTTCTAGGACTGCCCACCATCGAAGACCAGGATTTGTCCGTGCACTGCCCAGTTGATGAAACATGGCCAAATATAGTGTCTGTGTTTGGGGTAACGGTTGATAATCATAGCACGGGGAGACGGTTAAGTAACCTTTACATGGGAAACATTCAGAATGAATACCGGGGAAGTAAGGGGGTCCATGCTGAAACAACAGCCAAAGATCGTCTCTGTGCTCGTCTGAGGAGTGACCCAACCGTGAAGCCAAGCAGCCGGTTCAGAATGAACCGAAGTTTTTTTGAACAACCCGCCAAGTCAGCTGTTGCACCGAGGTCCCAGGTGGCCACGAAGGTAGTAACAGAGTCCATTTCCGAAAGTCTTCAGATCAAATCAAATGAAGCCCAAATTTGTTTTGCAACTCATGGAGTGAACGGAATCCTGGATCTTGGAGCCTCTAAGACGGTGATAGGAAGCCAGCATGTTGCGAGCCTCATAGATCACCTTGACTCCGAAACCAGGAGCCGACTTCGACGCTGCCCATGCAACATAACCTTTAGGTTTGGCAATCAGGGGACATTGACCAGTAGCCAAGCACTAGTGATACCAATTGGTAAGCTAATGCTCAAAGCAGCAATTGTCCCAGGAGGCACACCTTTCTTAGTGAGCAACACTCTGATGAGAGCCTTGCATGCCAGCATCGATTGTCACCGCCAGGAACTGCAAAGTCCGATGTTTGGGCACCCGGTGAAACTCACACTCTCCAGCAAGGGTTTGTTTTTGATAAATCTGAATGACGTGACCCAAGCATGCCAGTCGTGTCTTGCCAAGTTCCCGATGCAGCCGACAGTTCCGTCCGAGACATTCGTGTCCGAAGACGCAAAAAGGGTGTCATGCCGAGATCAGGGGAGTGCAAACACTGCCATGCAAATGCCAACCACTAAGGAGTATAATTCAACAAGCCCAGATGCACAGGTTCAGGTACCAAGGTCAGAACCAAAGCCTTTCCAGAAGCCGGAAGGCCAAGCCTCCGAACGTTTGTCTGTACAGCTCGCGGCTCAGAGTGATTCGTGCGTTTTGCCCGGACCAGCCCGATCGACCGTTCCTGATGGCCAGCCTGTCACAACGCCTGTCACAGATGCAGACCCATGTGGCCATCCAGGTGGAGGACCTCAGCCACCTGACACTGGAAGAACTGCACTCAGAAGCGATCAGTTTTGGTCAGAAGCATCGCGGCCAGAGCTTCCAGGAAACATGGAAGGACCAAGAGTGGGTATCCTGGATGGTGAGCCACTATGGTCACAGCACCAAGACATCTCACCGTCGCTTCCTGCGATATGTCGAGTTGAAGCTGGATCACCACGAAGCCCAGCAGCTGCCGATCCCAGTTGTCCCACAAGACAGCCTGCCCATGACTTCATCCGGTGCCAAAGGATTGGCCAAGTCGGCTGGCCCAAGCCCAGGGATGATTGCGGCAAAGGCCAAGATCCGACCACAGCACCCAGGTTTAGTCCATTTGCCGGATATGGAGGACGCCGGCTGGGCGTTGGAACCCGGGACATACACCCAGGGGACTATGAACCAGGATCCCAACATGGAGGCCATGCAGCAACGTATGCTGAACCTGGAAAATGCGCTGACCAGAGGTGAACACAGTGCCAGCTCAGTTGAGCCGCCAGAGCCCTGTCGAAGAGGAGTCCGATGTGGAGAGCCTTCATCTGGGATGATCGAGGACTGGGACACCGACACAATTACTTTCATGCAACATGAACAAATCAAACTCAAACAATTGATCCGACAATATGAACGTGAATTGGAAAATCAATTAACACATGTCCAACCAATGGGCTCAGCCTGCCATTTACTTGAGGTGTTCTGCAGTCAACACTCACCACTGACGCACCAGATGCAACAACTAGGACGAAGTGCCTATCGCTTTGGCAGATCGGAGGGAGACCTTGAGACAGTGAGCGGCCGTGCCAAGCTGTTTAGCGCAGTGGCCCGTCACCGACCCAAGCATATTTGGGTGAGCCCAGACTGTGGTCCCTGGTCATCCTGGTCAAGCCTGAATGCGTCTAGGTCCCTAGAAGCATATGATGCCTATCAACACATCCGAACGAAGTTGCTGTATCAGATTGACCTATGCATTGTGCTGTTCCGACATCAAATCATGCAGGGACAACAGTTCCACTGGGAGCAGCCGGCTCGATCGTTGATGCTGTCACACCCTGGCCTTGCAGAGGTTCATGTGACATGTGCAGGGTAGGTAACCTTAAATGCCCCCTCAATGGGTTGCCTATGAAAAAGGGGATGGTAATCTTAACCACTGATGAAAAGATCTATTATCACCTTCATGGAAAAGTATGTGACGGGTCCCATAAACATCAGCCAATCGAAGGCAATACTATCACCAAAGGGGAATCAATGTTGCGAACAGAGTTCACCGCTGTATATCCCCGAAAGTTTGCCCGGTCCATAGCCAAAATCATGTGCCATACTCGAACAACCACAGTTCACACCGACATGAACCCAATCTATGCTGCCGACAACCGACGGCCGCGGCCAAAGTTGACGTTTCCCAGGTCTGAACTGATCACACCAGAACCTCGAGATGAAAACCTCTCCAAACGCAGAAGACTAGATGGCAAACAACGGGTAGTTCCAGATGTTGACATCCTGCAGGGTATCCTCAACTCCGTGGAACAAATCCTTCCCCGCGTTGGCAAGTATGAGGTTCAAAATCAAGCCATCTTAGATCAACTCCAGGAAGTTTTCTCAGACAAACAAATCATGAGGGTCATCGCATGCCGAGGGACGGACCGCACCCTGGGGCCTCCCGAGAGTATGTATCCCCAAGAAGCACCGTTTCGTAGAAGTCTCCTACTCATGAGGACCACCAATGAGATTAAGTATGAACGGTTTTGGGAACAGTGGGACAGATTATCCAAGAGACAGCTTGTGAGACCAGCCCACTCATGCAGAATTAACATAACCATGTTTGCCAAGAACCCAGAAGCATCCGAGGACCTGGAAGTGAGAAATTCAGGGTCAGCGTCCAGTGCCGACAGATCTGCAGCAGTTCCAGTAAGGTTGTCACCACAGTTGGAGCCCAATGCCGACAGCAGTTCCCGGAATTCAACTGATGCCACTGATGCCTCGATGGAGCGAAGACATCCATCCGAGCTTGAATCCCAGCCTGAAGTGCCCAAACATGCCCATGAGATTCAGGCCAAACAACAAGACAGTCGTTTCAAGTCGTTACCCAAATGGGAGCAGCAAGAGATCATGAACATGCATAAGAACCTGGGTCACCCTTCAAATGACCGATTGTCAAAAGCACTTCAAGTCGCAGGGTATCGTGTAGAAGTAGTTCAGGCCGCTCTTGAGTTGAAGTGTCACATCTGTGCCGCATGCAGTCCCCCCAAACACCAAAGACCAGGAACCCTTAAACCGTTGTTAGATTTTAATCACAAGGTTTACATAGATGGGGCTAATTGGAAGAATTCCAAAGGAAAGAGCTTCCATTGGTATCATTTCCTGGATGCTGGTTCAAACTATCATGTGGCCGTATGTGCACCATCGCGAGACACTCAAGATTTTGCTCGCCTGATTGACCACCACTGGATATCCTGGGCGGGACCGCCCAACATGATTCAGGTGGACTCTGCAACTGAGATGAACTCTCATGGCCTGACATCGTTCATGCAGCGATATGGCATTAAGCAATTGACCATTCCACCTGAAGCTCACTGGCAACAGGGAAAGATAGAACGCCATGGAGGGTTCCTCCAAAGCATGCTGACAAAATTGGATCTTGAACATGCCATCGATGACTATACCCAGCTTCAGACAGCACTGAACCAATGCACTCATGCGAAGAACTCCTTAAGCATCCGTCATGGTTATGCCCCTGAAGTTATAGTCTTTGGAAAACACTCAAGATTAGCCGGGTCGATACTAAGCGATGAATCCAGACCTTCCCATGAGCTAGCCTTGCGTGAAGATCAAGACATTAGAGTTCAGGAGTTTAAGAGTTTGCTGCAAATTCGAGAGAGTGCACGCCGTGCCTTCCACAGCGTTGACAATAGCAATGCCCTCCGCCGTGCCGTGCTGAGACGTCCATGTCCCACCAGGGGAATGTATGAGCCCAACCAATGGGTAATGATCTGGAGAGCGGAACAACAAGGGAACCCTAAATGGATAGGACCCCAGAAAATCATAATCCAAGATGGTAATCATACAGTATGGAGTACTCAAGGGGGAAAACTATTCCGCAGCGCACCTGAACATGTTCGCTTGGCCTTACCCGAAGAAGGCACTGACGAAAGCAGTGAACTCCCAGAGGACCACACCATGATTCACCGACAAATTGAAAGAATAAACCAAGAGTCCCATAATCAATTACCAACTATCCCTGAAATGCATGAACTAGACTTTCCCCCAAGTAACCCTCTACCCCTCACAGGTTCCAACACAACCAGAGAGCGAGACCTCCGATGTTTCCCGGACCAACTCAGAATCCATACCACAACCAGATCATGAGCCCGAAAGTTCCCGACAGGTGACACCCCTGCCGCAAAGCACGAGCCCTGAAGAACAGCTTCAGGAAAATGATCAACTGATCTGCGAAGACATAGACTGGATTTTTCAAACAACTGCAGACAATGTCGATGCAGCTTGGCGATGCGAGTTTGATGTCAGCCTTAACTCCCCAGAAGCTTTGCCCCAAAATCAAGAAGAAGCTTGGACGTTATTGGCAACCAGTGCCAAAAAGCAAAGGACTGAGGTCAGACTCTCAGAGCTTTCTGCCGCCGAGAAAGCTGAATTCGACAGAGCCAAGGAAGCGGAAGTGCAGAACTGGATTCAAACGGGCACGTTAAGCAAAGTCCTCCGAAATCAAATCCCTGATGACCAGATTTTAAGATGTAGGTGGATACTGACGTGGAAACCCATAGATCCAGTAGGTGAGTCACAAGAGAATCCCAACGGTTCCAAAAGGTCATCAGATCAGTCCCAGCGTACTCACAAAGCCAAAGCACGCCTGGTTGTACTTGGTTACTTGGACCCTAAGATTGAGGAGATCCCTCGTGACAGTCCTACCCTTCACAGAACTTCCCGAATGATGCTGCTACAAACGATAGCCAGTAATGGCTGGTCGCTGGAAAGCTTTGACATCCGTGCCGCTTTTCTCCAAGGGACCCCTCAATCCGATAGGATAATTGGGATAGAACCTGTAAGTGAGATTAGACAAGCCATGAACATGTCACCTTGGGAAGTAGGTAAACTCAACAAGGGAGCCTATGGTTTAATCGATGCACCTTACCTATGGTACTGTGCTCTGGTGAACGAACTGCAAAAGTTGGGATTCGTGGCCACGCCTTTTGATCCTTGCCTGTTTGTACTCAGCATGCCCGCTGGAGAATCCAATGCGGGGGCACTTGCAGGAGTTTTAGGAGTTCATGTGGATGATGGGATGGGGGGTGGTAACCAGTACTATCAAGAGAAAATCAAACTACTGGAGAAGAAATTTCCGTTTGGCTCTCACAAGACTCAAGCTTTCACGTTCACAGGCATAGAGGTGAATCAACGAGGAGACAATAGTATCCACTTGAGTCAATCATCCTATGTCCGAAAGATCAAACCCATTGCAATTGACATCAACCGTAAATCTCAAACCAATAGTCCCATTACCGAAGACGAAAAACTTGCACTCAGAGGACTGATCGGTAGTCTACAATACGCATCCACCAACACCCGTCCAGACCTAGCCAGTAAACTTTCATTTCTACAATCAGCCATAAACAATGCAACGGTTGACACGTTACTTGAGGGGAACCGATTGCTTCATGAAGCCAAACATCACCACGATGTTGCCATTATCATCTAGCCTATTCCAACAAGGGATTTCAGATTCATGGCCTTCAGTGATGCATCGTTTTCGTCCAGTAAGAAGCCGGATTCACACTCGGGGGTAATAATTGTGGGGACCCATAGAGATATCAATGATAATAAGCAGTGTCCTATTAGTCCAATCTCATGGGGTTGCAAGAAGATACAGAGAGTGGTCACAAGTACCCTGGCTGCTGAATCAACGTCTCTCGCATCCGCATTGGACCAGTTGGCCTGGCTGAGAATCTTTTGGTCATGGCTCCACGACCCGAAGGTAGAATGGAGAAAACCTGAACAAACACTGAAGCAACTTGCACCTGCCATTTCAGCACCAACTTTCAAACAAACAGCAGACCTCGCAATTACAGACTGTAAGAGTTTATACGACCTCACAACAAGAACAGCTCCACCGTCATGCACTGAATTTCGGGTTCAACTTGTTTCTCGTGCCATAAAAGAAGCTCTGCAAGAAAACATACGACTCCGTTGGGTACACTCAGGAGCTCAACTGGCTGATGCTTTGACCAAGGCAATGGAAAGCCATTTTCTCAGAGAGACTTTGCGCATGGGAACATACCGGCTAGTGGACGAAGCATCGACCTTGAAAGAACGTGCCAAAACCAAGGATCGAGTGAGATGGCTCAAAGAGCAAAATGAAACCAATAAAAAAGAAATTTTGGGAATGTGATTTGCAAACGTATCAGCTCTTTGAGATGAACTTCACCATAAGGGTCCTTTGCATAACCGCTTCCCACTCCAGGTCCAAACAAACAACAATGATGTCCAGGTGGTTCCATAGACACTTGGCTCAGGCGATCCAGCGGCGGGAGGGAAGCGGCGTGTCTTGTGCCTGTTTGGCGCCATAGCACAGGGTGCTTGGGAACGTGGACGTTCCATTGGAGCTAGCAACATAGGACGCATTGCATCCGAGACTGCTGAGAGGAAAAGTCGCTCATCGCAGGGCGCTGAGGTTGGATTCAACATAGTGGAGCTACCCCACTCATAGTATATATATATATATATAGATAGAGTAATATTCACTGATTCTACACTTCATTGTATAGTAATTTCACCAAGTGTTTTTTGGATATCATTTAAACTATGCTATCAGAGTATAATTGTGATATCCTTTTATACTGAGTACCCTCTGGTAATTTTTGACATAGCTATTGAAAGTTGATTTATCCATTAAAAATGATGATTTTCCATAGTTATGTAAACGTTTACCAGAGGGTATATAGAGTAATCTTACCCATACTCCTGATAAGTTGAGGATTAAGCCCTCGGTATGCTTTGCGTCATGTGGATTGGTTGGGGATTGTGATCTCATCTCAACTCAGGGCGGGTTTTTATTCAATGCCAAAACATGGCTCCAACTTAGGGAAACTGCCCCAAACCATGGCAAAATGTGGTTTTGAATGGGAAAACCAAAGAATATCTGTATGAATTGGCCATGAATCTCATGGGTGGTCATTTCATTGCGGTATCAACGAAGCCAAAAAAGTTAAACCATCCTTTTCTACTATTAAACATTATTAAACCATCCTTTTTGGAGATCCAAGAAATTATACACATATCCAACGAACGGAGGTTAGTTGGCGGCCAAAGGGATCCATTTCAGGCCCCCAACGCGTGGCAATCAAACAGTTTGCACATGCATTGGACACATGGGAAAAACACCAAAAAACATATATCAGACGTTGAAAAATGCAAACATGTGTATTAATTACCATATATTTTACCATATTTCAATGTCCAATATTTTAGCATATGAAACTTGTCAGGTTCGCACCGCCCTCTTCTCTGTCCCCAGTGAAATCATCCTGTGCTTCGTGGGTTGCCATATCTTGGGAAGGACTTTCATTTTTGAACAAACACACCTGTCAAAGACCATGTTGTTGATTCTATACCTCATCTTGTTGGTGGTGCTAGCAATCACCATCTTGAAAAATGATGGAGTGAAAGTCAATGGGAAGGATGACATCCCATATATGAAATGGAAAATAAAAAATATTTGAAACCACCAACCAGTCATTATTTACATGTATACATGGTTGGTTTTTCCCCAAAACTCTGGTTCCAAACTGCGAAGCAAGATAAAGAGATTCCAAGCAACTCAGTTCCTCCTGGCAAGTGGTGCCCATGAAGACACCACCCAAAGTCTTGCAAGAGCTCTGGCTTTTGCAGTTGCAGGAGCCAAACTCCTCTGTCGCGTTGGTAATTTTTGAAGATTAAATTCCATATGAACCATGGTTATTGGGAAACTGAAAGCGGAGTTGATGATAAACCAATGGATTCCTAAATCTTGCTGCAGACCGACCTCCTAATTTCTGGCGATTTTCTCATAGCCACGATTTTCTTTGGTTATGTGGTTGGTAATCCCTTTCCCTAACAATTTAAGGGAATTTTTCCACAGGATTTTTTTTTCCCAGCAAACATGAGGGATTCCCGGCAAAAAAAAATCAACCAATCCCACAAAACAGCATGAAGCAGTGCTAGTTAGCTGCTTCAACGATCATCGCTTGGGATTTGATATTCAAATGGTTTGTTTTGTTTCATCTTATACCATGTTGTGGTAGGTTTTGACATTGAAATGGTAGATGTTACTTTTTGGGGGATGGAAAAACATCAGGATTATGAACCAGTTCATTATCAATGGAATCAATGGTTAAGCCCAGGTTTTTGCGGATAAACCTCTATTTCCTGATAAGTCAACTCACTCAATCCCCCGTTTCATCATTGGTTGGTTCCTGCCAGAGGGAAGCACTATGATTTCTATGAATTTTGATCCTGATCAACCCAGTCCTCCTTGCAATCTGCCGTGGCGTCACAACTCTCCTTGGAAACATTGCTGGCACTGAGGTCGCACCAAGCATAGGAGTAGGCCTCCGGCAAAAAGTCGCTGGCACTTTTGCACGGTGTCATGGCTGTCACGTTCCTTGGTGCATCAAAGATTCAGGATTGCCCAACTTGTACATATATATATATATGTCTATTTGTATATTTATTTTACATGTTTTGTGCGGTGTATATGCAAATATAGACAGTTACATACATATACCATGTGAATATATGACAGTGTATATATATATATATACACATGTACACGAATATGTATGTGTATATATATATACACACACATACACGTACATATATACATATATACATATATACATATATACATAGATACATATATACATATATATATAGATACACATATATATATGTGTATATTTATCTATTTGTAAATCTATTTTACATATTTTGTGTTGTGTATATGCAAATTTACACAGTTATATACATATATCATGTGAATATGTATGTGTATATATATATATACACATACACGTATACAAATATAAATATATATATATATATACATAAATAAATATACATATATATACATATACATATATATATATACAAATGTATATATATATACATATATATACATATATATATATACATTTATACATATACATATATATATATTTACATATATATATATACATATATATATAAATATATACATATATATAAATATATACATATAGATATACATATATATATATACATATATATATATATACATATGTATATACATATATATATATACATATATATAAATATATATATTTGTATATCTATTTTACATGTTATGTGTTGTGTATTTGCAAATATACACAGTTATATACATATATCATGTGAATATGTATGTGTGTATATATATATGGAAAACATGTAAAACATCTGGATATTTATTCTAGTTTTGTAATATTTCACCAATTTTAAATAAACTCCTTTGGGGATTCCCCTTACGAACCATGAGGTTGCAGTGAGGTCGTTCTACTTTATCAACATGTACACATATGTATACATATATAATAAACCATCCCCAATTTCACCATAAGTGGTGATATAAACCATTTCCAAATGGGTGGTTTATGGCATTGTTTTACCACCATTACACATACTACTGTATTATACATATGGCACGAACCCAAATAGATAGTTGAAAACTCTGTTGGAAACATCCGTTACCATTCCATCCTGGAAAACTCTGTTCCGAATCTTTGGGGGACCGCCTTGATCACCATCTTCAGCAAAACATATATGCCATATGCTTCAAACTAGACGACGGTTGGCCCGAGAGCGAAAAAGATGTGTTTCAAGCAGCTCTGAGTATGGTAGTCGTAAAAGATAGTCGGTGAATAGTTGGTGAATTTTATTGGTGAATTTTATATGAGCTATGGAAAGACATGATGTAAAAAAGTAAGATTGATCAAGAAGAGAATATTTGGTAAAGGGCATCAGATGACATGTGTCTTGCAACCACAGAGAGAAAGAGGGGGAAGAGATAAAGAGAGAGAGAGAGAGGTCAGACGCATTTCCACACAAAGACCTTTGAGATACAAAAGAAGCTCGGCACCATGATGCCGTGGATGACCTTAGTTGCAAACAAAGGTGGGCAAACATAGTCGCAATGAAAATGCTACAAAATGCAAAAGTACACAAACAAAGGCTCCGTAAGAAACTAGAACTCCGTGCAAGAATGCTGTGAATGATAGCAAGTTCGATATCATGATGGCAAGGATAACACCTGTTTCACTGCATTTCTCCGATGTCCCTACAGGATGGAAAAAAAACTTTACAGACAAACAACAGTTGGCTACTGGTTTTGCATGTTCGTCACGAACAGTCTCTCCAGACGAACATACTGGTTTTGCATGTTCGTCACGAACAGTCTCTCCAGACGAACAGTGCTACAGATTAATTTGCGCCAGTTGCACTCAGTGCCACTCGGTACGCAAGCCTTCCAGCTCCCTGATGCCGTGGATGACCTTAGTTGCAAACAAAGGTGGGCAAACATAGTCGCAATGGAAATGCTACAAAATGCAAAAGTACACAAACAAAGGCTCCGTAAGAAACTAGAACTCCGTGCAAGAATGCTGTGAATGATAGCAAGTTCGATAGCATGATGGCAAGGATAACACCTGT